AAGCTTGTATTTTTGGATTCAATAACTGTCAATCACGGCAATCAATACATGCCTACGTACAATCAAGGTAACATATCAAAATTTTACAATACTTACTGTGTGTAAGTGTGAATGTATAGAAAGAAAATAATAACAATAAAATAGTAAATTTTTTCTGAGTGTTCGATCTTTGTATTAATAATTATAACAAACTAGTGGAGTAATTTCACAAAAAATAATTGAATATCAATTCAATAAAAATTTAATTAACACAGTGAATAGCGACATCTCTCGCCAGGACTGGTAGCTGTAAAGGTACTAACTGGGTGATAAATCTGTAATAGATTTCTCATAGATGGCGCTACGACTAAAAAGTCGTTGAAAGACCAAGTACAAAGACACGACGCAAGCACATAGAGAAATTCGTGAGGTCCGTTGGTTCGTTCCGTGGCTTAGTTGGTATAGCGTCTGGCACGGTATGCAAGAAGACGTCGGTTCGAATCCGACCGGATCGAAGGAATTTTTTCTGAGTGTTCTATCTTTGTATTAATAATTATAATAAAATAGTAGTCTAAGGGTCGTATTCTAGAACTCTACTCAATGCTCAAGTCAGGATTTGAGTAGGGTTTAAAGCACTCGAAATCATACTCAAGTCCCTGCCATTAGGGTCGTATTTCCAGTGCTTGTGTTGCCAGTGCAATCCTGACTTGAGCATTGGACAGAGTTCTAGAATACGACCATAAGTGACTGTTACATAATGAAAGGCATTAAAATAAGAGTGTGGGTTCATTACACGAGTGTTTAATGCCTAATTATACGTATTAATAAGTTCTATATGATGTGTTCAGGAACCGCATGTTACGACCGGCGAAATGGCGACAAATAAAAATTTTTCTCACGCCAGTCACACAACCGTAGTTTTTATTTAATTCATAGACAAGAGTATCATACTACCCGACTATCATATCGTTCGTTCAATACCAAGTAACGTGTGAAATTTCTCAAAACTGTTTGCTACTGTCATTTCGTTTCGGATAAAACTTAATCTCGATTGATATTAAAATTGAGATCGAATGAAATTGTTTTGTTTTTCAGAGAAGTTTGAAATTTGAATATAATAATAAAATCGAACTCGATATTATTATCAAGCAATAATAAAATTTTCACAAATAAGAAATTTGTTCTAACAAAACAGTTTATCTTTAAGCTGGTCGTAATTTACGGTTTTTGAACACATCACAGAGGGTTTATATGTGTGTAGATAAAAAAATTATCACCTCATAGTTTTCTATAAAAGGCAGCGTGACCCACTGACAGCTGCATTGTTGTTCTTTTTTAATGATTTCTAACATTATCAAAAAAATTATCTAAAATTATCAAGCTCCGAGGACTATATTACTAACATCATAAACAACTCTTGTTCCATGACCTTTGATAATACATCAGAATTTACTTTCATACAAAAATAAAACTAGTTAAACTAATAGCTCTAAACAACGATAACTCTGCGCTAACCATTGACCTTGCATGTCAATGGCATTAGCAAAAGAAAGCGCTAGCGATACCGGGGGTATAGTATAGGGGAGGGCGGCTGACCTATTTACTAGACCTGTGTCTGTCGATCATTTTTGATAACCCGGGTCGATTATGACCCATAATGTGATAGGGTCAAATGATTCTATCATATGTTCGATCTTTTAGCGGGTCACTCGTCGCTCACGATACTTCCATATGGCATTTAAAAGGGTCAAATTATACAATTAGCTTTTATTGTTTCCTGCTGATGAGTAATGTGTGTAAATCTAAATGCATCATTGATAAACCACACTCAGGACACTAATATTTCTTTCTTAGAAAAGTAACACTTACAAAACAAAAAACATAACAAAAAACTTATGAGCAAATTACTAATTTATTATTCATTAATATTTTAATATTAGCTAGTGCCCTCATAAATAATCACAACATAACGAAAAACAGGTTATACAGACACTACGCCACGGAGCAATTAATCATTGATCCGTTGATTCATTAACTCGTTGACTCGTTGATCAATTGCTTGACTTTTTGGTTGGTAACGAAGATTCTATCGAACAAATGTTCGACCCAAACGAAGAGTGAGAAGGCGAACCGTGTCGTGAGTGGGGATTTCACGTGAGAGTGAGCGAGACAACAATAATATTGTCAGTTCCAGACTGAGTGTTGAGTGTGAATTGTTGAATAATCTCTAAAATTATAGTGATAACGTCGAAGATTGCGCGCATGATCCATGACACTCTAATTGATCGGGTTATTTAGAAGCTTGTAACCCGGGTTATCAGGTCAGAGGTACTGTTCGAATCATTGTGATTCGATCACGATAGACACAGGTCTACCATTTACCTGTACGATCAGTCGCTCCTGCGCCCGCGCGCGTTGCGTGTGTGCGTATTGATACTCTAATGTTGAGTATACGGAATGGCGCGAATACTTGCTAGGTGTGGTGATAATGTTATGAAGCTCGTCATGAATATTCAAGATGGTTCCCCTAGTAGCAAAAAGTAACATTTTGTACAAAACATGTTACGCAGTCGCTCGCTACAACTGTCACTAGTAAATACTCTGAATACGATAGTACCAAACGAGAAAAGTATAGTAAAACATGGAGGTGACGAATTTAACCTTGAAAACGTTGTCTCACTCTTATCTGGCAGGGTTACTTAGAAAGAAAAAATTACGAACATTTTCAACTTTGTTATAATTATCAATACAAATAACGAACATAAAGAAAAATTCTTTCATCTAGATGGAGCGAACAAAAATTTTCATAGATCTACGGCAAAAAGTACTTAGAACCAAAAAACAAAGATCTGCAAGAAGCTATAAAGAAATCGTAAGGTCTGCTAGTTCGTACTGTAGCTCAGTTGGGAGAGCGTCAGACACGGTATGGCGACGGCGCTGGTTCGAGCCCAACCGGATCGAATAAATTTTGCTTTGTGGACAATCTTTGTATTAATAATTTAGAACTAATCGAGTAATTTCACGAATATAATTGAATATCATGATAGTATAACATCGTAATATTCAATAAATTTAACGTTTTCAAGGTCAAATTATGTCTTCAGTTAAGAATTACGAATGTGGTCTCCTTTTATAACCATCGAGTATATAACCAGAAATAGAGACGAAATGTCATTTAATTTGTTTGAAAACTATTCTGCCATATCATTACTGTCACAACTGCGCTCCGATTGGCGAGCCCGAATTGACGGATGTCGTCAATGGGTGTCGTCAACTGTTTCACTTCAAATCGACCAGTCAGTTAACTTGAGCTTTGCTATAATGGACGAAAATTGCGAAATTACATAATTTAATATTTAATTGAAAAACCGATGAAATGTAATACCGTTTGTTTTGTAAGTAGATATTTTGCTGTTTTTCCCACACCACCGAATAGAACAGCACGGCATTGTTAGAGACATTATCTTTATTACAATAAATACAGAATATTTTTTGGAATATACGGAGACGTACACACAGGTCAGTAGTTGGCCTGTCTATATTTCAGTGCAAACGAGAGTTGATATTTATAAAAGCTGTATCGCTAATGTGTTACCAGGAATATATGGCCCTTATTTCGTCTCTATTTCTGGTTATACACTCGATGTTTATAACCTTCCTGGTATCAACACTGTACATTTAATAGTATTTATTACATGATTTGTGCTAGTGTAAGTATCGATTATTTATCGATAGTTTTACCGTTGGCGTGCATCACTACGCCGCTATAAATCTAGTTAGTGTGATAAGCTCCGTATTGTCGCTATTACTTGCAATGTTAACCTAATTTGCGTTATTATTCTAAGCCTATTTCTAATAACAAACTTAACAACATTATATTGCTCCGTTATGCTTAAAGAAGCCCGATATTTACACGACAACATATCTTAGTATTAATCCATTTAGTGGGACTCATTTTGTCATATTGTCATTTTGCATTTCCTCGTGTATAGTCATCTTTATCAATATAAAACAGTTATTTACATATTTGACGGAACAAAGTTATTTACACAAGTCGTTCCTGAATTTCATGCTGTACTTTGTGATGTAAAGATGTTGTTCCCTTTATCATAAAAGATATTTACAATAAGGCTGAAAGATATTATTTACATACATTATATAGTTCATTATTGAATATCGACTTCTGTATTGTGATGTTAACGGTACCCGGTACGACCAATTTACGAGGTGTACTTTGTCTGAGTGTTCTGGATAGTAACCCGGATTGAGATCCGTTATGGGGAATTAACTTCATTTAAAATCTTCAGTTGAAATAAAAATGTTTTTCATCAAAATCAAGCAATAAGAAAAATTAATTCAAAATCATTCCTAATTGTTTACACCTGGTTTGCGTGAATAAGGTTACTGGTTTTTTAATTCGGATAGTTATACATATATACGGACAATCAAATAACTTTTCGACTATGAATTACTGGTAGCATTTACTTTTGAATTCAATGTTACTGTTCTCAGAAAAACTTATTTTTTGTAATCTGTAAATACAACGCAACGTGAATTAGAATGTCACTTGATTCCATTTCTGAGCATGATAGGACTACACAAAAAAAGAATACCAGTGGACCTCTTAACAGGTTAACGCAACGATTTCACTCTTCGCCATCAGACTATACGGAAAATAGAATTAACCGTGGATCCATTCACAGGTCAACACAACAATTTTCATCTTTAAGCGCCATTGGGCTCTATCCATTAACATGTCAACGCAACGAGAAAAAGTGCCATTAGGCTATACCCATTAACATAGGTCAACGTAACGATTTCATCTTTAAGCGCCATTGGGCTCTATCCATTAACAGGTCAACGCAACGAGAAAAAGTGCCATTAGGCTACACCCATTAACATAGGTTAACGCAACGATTTCATCTTTAAGCGCCATTGTGCTCTATCCATTAACATGTCAACGCAACGAGAGAAAGTGACATTAGGCTATACC